TGTTGCATTATAAGTAAACCCTTCCTTACCCTAGCTCTTGTTGCATTATAAGTAAACCCTTCCTTACCCTAGCTCTTGTTGCATTATAAGTAAACCCTTCCTTACCCTAGCTCTTGTTGCATTATAAGTAAATCCTTCCTTACCCTAGCTCTTGTTGCATTATAAGTAAACCCTTCCTTACCCTAGCTTTTGTAAACCCATCCTTACCCTAGCTCTTGTTGCATTATAAGTAAACCCTTCCTTACCCTAGCTTTTGTAAACCCATCCTTACCCTAGCTCATGCTGCATTATAAGTAAACCCTTCCTTTCTGTGTGGTTATATGAAGTTTATCAAATGAATGAAGTAAATCCCAAGAACTATTTGATTGTTCGTTATGTTGAACTGTGATTTTATGTATTAAAGGTTACTGTTTGCTCTGTTACAGCCTTTTAACCATGGGGCCATGAGGTCATGTTATAGAGTGTAAGTACAAATTGTTAAGTAATGAATTGGTAGATAATCTTTCATAAAATACTTAACATTTATATAGTGAAAATACAGTAGGTAAAGAAACTGAATCTATGTAAAAAGACAATGGAAAAAGGTCAAAAAAGTATTTTGGAAAACAGTATCAATAACAACTAAGCCAAGCCTAAGCCAATTATTGAAACCATTTAAACCAACTGAGTTAATAATTGAGCTGTTAGTGATACAGTTTTCTAATCAAGGGCTTCCCCTTATTGTTCAACACTTGCTAGTAAATCCTACTCTTCTGTTTTTCCTTTCTTTTAATTTGTTTGCTTTGTACATCTTCGTATATATTATTTTTATGATTAACTTTTTTTCCATTATCATTTTTACCCTTGTCTTTATTACTGCCACTAAAATAAATCATGTATTATTATAACTGTTTAAAGTTGTTTTGGCTTGAACCATGATGGTATGGTAGGAACATAACAACATTAGAATAACTAATATGAACATGTGTTAAAGTTCAGGTCAACTTTTGTTAGGCCTAAGGTTTCAGGTTTGTTTAGTTAGCTTAAAGAGGGTTTTTTTTTTGTGGCCACAGACCTAAGTAATTTCTTTGCTTTTTTCTTGAGCTAGAATAGCTGATGATAAATAGAAGTGAACTGAGATAGGGATGGATAAATATACTGAAGATGTTGATAGCTAACGTTTAGTTATCCTATATTGTTATGCATTTTTATAATAAAGAAATTTAAAGAAAAGTTTCAAGCGATGGTGAATTCCTGTTGTAGTATTTTTCAAAGGAATTCGGCTATCTTTGATATCTGTGTAAGGTCATTTTATGGTGAGTTCGTTATATGACATAGTTAGACAACAGTCTTAATAGATCATTTTATGGTGAGTATGTCGTATGACGTAGTAAGACAAGCCCTAATAGATCGTTTTATGGTGAATATGTCGTATGACGTAGTTAGACAAGCCTTAATAGATCATTTTATGGTGAGTATGATGTAGTAAAACAAGCCCTAATAGATCATTTTATGGTGAATATGTCATATGACGTAGTTAGACAAGCCCTAATAGATCGTTTTATGGTGAATATGTCGTATGACGTAGTTAGACAAGCCTTAATAGATCGTTTTATGGTGAATATGTCGTATGACGTAGTTAGACAAGCCCTAATAGATCGTTTTATGGTGAGTATGTCGTATGACGTAGTTAGACAAGCCTTAATAGATCGTTTTATGGTGAATATGTCGTATGACGTAGTTAGACAAGCCCTAATAGATCGTTTTATGGTGAGTATGTCGTATGACATAGTTAGACAATAGTCTTAATATTTCAGGAAGAAGCCATCTCATGTTTCTTCTGGTAACTGGGCTCATGCGTCTAATTATGTTGCTAAAAGATACATGGAAGATGTGGATCGGAAGATATATTTTGAAGATGTGAAGTTACAGATGGATGCAAAATTGTGGAGCGAAGAGTATAATCGTCATAACCCACCAAAAAAGGTTTGTATCTACACATTTAATTGTTGTAACCCACCAAAAAGGTTTGTATCTACACATTTAATCGTCATAACCCACCAAAAAAAGATTTGTATTTACACATTTAATCGTCATAACCCACCAAAAAGGTTTATATCTACACATCTAATCATCATAACCCACCAAAAAAGGTTTGTAACTACACATTTAATTGTTATAACCCACCAAAAAAGGTTTGTATCTACACATTTTATCTTTATTTCTTAATCAGCATGGATCATGTGGGAAGTATAAAAAAATTGTATTGTAGAGTTAGTTCGACTAACTGTATTGTAGAGTTAGTTCGACTAACTGTATCGTAGAGTTAGTTCGACTAACTGTATCGTAGAGTTAGTTCGACTAACTGTATCGTAGAGTTAGTTCGACTAACTGTATCGTTTATTAAATATATATATATATTTTTTTTCATAACATCAAATTATTTAACTTTTATCAAAGCATTATTACTGTGTTGTTTTAATCGAATGTGTATGGGATCGTTCCATCGGACCAACCCTCTACTGGAGAATGGATCTGGATAATAATTCCAAATTTACTACACGTATTTAAGTGAAGTGTGGCAAGCTTTAAGTAAAATTAACAAGTATGTTGTATGCAGATGTGTTACAAAAGTATTTGTATTCAAGATATGTCTGTGAATTGTTGACGTCAGTCTGATTCAGACTCTGAAATGTCAGAATGTAAGTTGATCTTATACTTCTTCTGTGTTACAGTTTGCGTTTGCATAACCTCTAGAATCCTCAAAATGTGGACCTACAGTTTCTTAGTATCCCTGTATTTACTCTCCTCAACCACTAAATGAGTAAAGTAATGAATATTAATAACATAATACCACGTTGAATGGAACTCTTTAAAAGGTAGTGGCATGCACACTTTACCCCCACCCGAGTACATAGGGTTAACATGACATGAGACAATAGTGTTTAATGTTATGATTGGAGCTAAACTAAGAAAAGCACTCGAGTATAAATAACTGTTCTTTTCAAGCTGAAGTATGTGGCTACGTTAAGAAAACTATGATCTCTATACAGTTTTTGGAAAACATTCTAAAAATGTTCGTTATTGATTTCTGTGGCTACACTATTAAAAGTAATGGTCGATTGTGAGTTTTTATAGTAGTTTTTGTAGTTTTAATGTTCATATATATCTTATTCTCTTTAACTTGTTTATGCATGATTCAAGATAACACCCTGTTAGGCTTAGCTGTAGCATTATTTTCGTAGTCAAACAAAGTAACTGATTCTGAAGTTTTCATCACATTAACTATGGTCATATGTTAATCAGTTATAAATGAAGTTTAATTTACTAATTTCTGTTTAAGCCAGTAAATGTTTGTGCCAAGTACTTTCTCATGTTATGCCTAGGAATGAATGAATATATATATATCTGTTGTCATCCCAACTCTCTACATAAAATTTAAACTTAATTTAACAAGAAATGCTCCAAAAACATTTGACAGTATATGAAGTGTTGTCAGTTGAGACAGTACCCAGGAGTGCCTCCAACTGAGACAGTACATGGAGTGCCTCCAACTGAGACAGTACATGGAGTGCCTCCAACTGAGACAGTGCCCGGAGTGCCTCCAACTGAGACAGTACATGGGGTGCCGCCAACTGAGACAGTACCCGGAGTGCCGCCAACTGAGACAGTGCCCGGAGTGCCGCCAACTGAGACAATACATGGAGTTAAATAAATATGTGAAACCTGTCTGTTTCTGACTGTATATACTACACACACACACACAAAAAAAAATATTGTTTT